ATATAAAGCATGTTTTAAAAGGCATTCATTGGGCTGGGGCTGGGGCTGGGGCTCAGCGATAGTGCACTTGCCTGGCATGTATAAGGCACTGGGTTCGATTCTCTGCACCACATTTAAATAAATAAAATAACTAAAAAAAAATAAAATTAGATTTTTTTTTAAAAAAAGCACTCATTGCCACGGTTAAGATACATTCTGGTGTTTACCAATAAATGTGTACGTTATCTATAAAAAACCCCAAATGACATGGCCATTTAAGTGCTAAGTTTTTTTTAGCATTTAAATTTCTCAAATGTCCTGTTTAGCAGTTATAATTTACAGATAGTAAGTTCTCTGTTCTTAGGTATGATCTGCATTTTGACCAACCTGTATAGAACCACTCCTCATTCAAGATAATGTGTCTATCACCTTTTGCAAAAAGCTCCACCCCTAGCCCTGGCATTTGCTGATCTAATACTTTCCTACAGTCTTGCCTTTTCCAGGAAGTTTTCACACAGTGATTCTGAGGTTGCCGTGCTGCGGTGTGGAAGGATTGATGGTGTGGTGAGCTGCAGTTGTATCCATCATATGATGGGCACTTGAGCATTCCCTGATTTTGGCAGTTAGGAATAAAGCTGCTGTAAACATTTGTTCTTGGGTCTTCCTATGGACCTGTTTTCATTTTTCTTAGCAAAATATATAGGAATGGGAGCAGTGACTCAGGAAAATGTCTGTTTAACTTAAAAGAAACTATTTTTATTTTTTTGTGGAGTAGCTATACCTGTTTGCACCAATAATGCTTAAGAATTCCAATGTCTCCATATTTTCACCAGCATTTGGTTTAAAAATTTTAGTCATTATGATGGATACATGGTTGTGTTTGATTATGTTAATTTGCCTTTTTTAAGAAGTCACTGTTACAACTATTTTCCCTCTTGGGTTTTTTTTTTTTTTTTTTTTTTGTGGGAGGGGAGCGGGTACTGGGAATTGAACCCAGGGACTCTACCACTGAGCTACATCCCCAACACTTCCTGTTTTTTAAATTAAAAAAAAATATTTTTAGTTATACGCAATACCTTTATTTTATTTATTTATTTTTAAGAGGGGCTGAGAATCGAACCCAGTGCCTCACATGTGCTAGGCAAGCGCTCTACTACTAAGCCACAACCCCAGCCCTTGTTTTTTTGAGGCAGGGTCTCACTAAGTTGCCCAGGCTGGCTTCAAAGTTGTGTTTCTTCTGTCTCAGCCTCCTGAGTTGCTGGAATGGTGGGCATGCGCCACCATGGCCAACTAGCACATTTTTTTTAGTTTAATTTTTTCTTTTTACACAATTTCAAGAATTCTTTATTCTAAATATATCTTCTCAGATGTGTGTTTTACAAATATTTTCCTAGTCAGTGACTTGTCTTCTTTTTTATACTTCTTTTTTGGTACCAGGGTCAAAACTCAGAGGCACTCAATCACCTGAGCCACTTCTCCAGTCCTGTTTTGTATTTCATGTAGAAATAGGGTCTTACAGAGTTGCTTAGCACCTCACTGTTGCTGAGGATAGCTTTGAACTTTCGATCCTCTTGTTTCAGCCTCCTGATCCTATTTAAATTAAAATAGAAGTTTTGTAGCTATGAATTTTAGTTAGATCTGTAGTCCATTTGGAGCATTTTTGCACATTGTACCAAATAAGGGTCTGGCTTCTGTCCCTCTTGGCAAAAGATCGCCCAGCTCCTCTAGCACCATCTGTGAAAGAGGCTCTCTTTTTCCCATTGGCACCTTTTTTGGCATATTTGACCTTGATTTCTGGACTCTCTTCTGTCCCAATTTTCCATGTCTGTGGTTACACAAATACGCTGTCTTGACAGCTGTGGCTTTATAGTAAGTCTTGAAATCTGACTTCTGCCCCTTTGTTCTCTTGTTAAACATCATTTTTGCTTATTTTTGGTCCCTCTCTGTATATATATTAAAGTCGGCTTATCAAATTCTGCCACAAAAAAAAACAACGCTGCTTAGATTTTGACTGCGACTGTGTTGCATTTGTTGTAGATCAATTTGGGAAGAATTGCCATTTGAATTATTGCATCTTCTGATCTATGAACACGGATATGTCTCCATTTTCAGTCTTTATCTGAAGTAAATCAACTTATAAAGAAACACAATTTACTTTTGTGTAGTAACCCTATATCCCCAACCTTGGTCAGCCTGCTTTTAGTTCTAGTAGCTATTCTGGAGATTCCACAGTCCAGTGTAAACTCTCATGCACATGTGAGCAAAGACTCAGGCCTCCCTGTCAGGCTTTTGTTTTGGCAGTGTTGTACCCCAGCCCTGCCTCGGTGTGCTAGGCGAGTGCTCTGCCAGGAGTTTAGCCCTGCCCCCGCTTTCAGCATCCATCCTTTTATTTCCTTTCTTGCCTTACTTTATTTTCTGAGGTTTATAGCACACCATGGATAGAAGTGGGGAGAAGAAGGATGTCCTTGCCTTATTATTGTTTTTTTTTTAAATATTGTTGTCAGTGGATCTTTATTTATATGTGGTGCTGAGAATCGAACCTAGTGCCTCACACTTGCTCAACAACACACTGCGCCACAACCCCAGCCCCCCTTGCCTTGTTTCTAATTTTGGGGGTCCTGCCAGTTTTTTATCATGGAGTAGATGGTTAGACATAGGGTTTTTTAGAAACTTTAATAGAAGTTGAAGAATTCTTTTCCTAGTTTGTTGAGACTCTTTATGATGAATGGCTGTTGATTTGCCAAATGCTTTTTCTGCATTGATTGAAATGGCTGTATGGTTTTTTGTTTTTTTTAATGAATCTGTTATAGCAAATTACATAGCCAGAATTTTTTTTTAAATGTTGAATCATTCCTGCATTTGTGAAATGATGAACCATATATTATGAGTTGTGTGTTGGTGGTATTAAACCATTATGATGGATGCTCAATTTGATATGCTTAATATTTTACTTAGAAATTTCTCCTCTGGGGGCAGGGGATGTGGCTCAATTGGTAGCACACTCGCCTAGAGTGTGTGAGGCACTGGGTTCGGTTCTCAGCACCACATAAATGTGAAATAAAGATACTGTGTCCACCTAAAAACTAAAGAAATAAATATTTAAAATTAAAAAGAAAAAGAAATTTCTCGTCTGTTTGTGAGGGATATTTGTAGTGTTCTTTTGTTGGTTTGTCTGATTTTGGTGTCATGGTAATGCTGGCCTTAAGAGATAAATAGGCACATTTTCCCTTCCCTTCTGTTTCTGCATAAACCTGTGTAGTTTTAGTGTAAATTCTTTAAGTGGTAGAATTCACCAGTGAAGGCACACCGAGGTCTGGAGTTCTGTTTTGTTTGTAGTAAGATTTTAAATATAAAAACAGTTTCTTCTTCTTTCTTTCTTTTTTTTTTGGGGGGGGGGCAATGGGGATTGAACTCAGGACTACCTAACCACTGAACCTCATCCCTAGCCCCCGCTTTCTTTTTAAGTTTTGAGACAGGGTCTCTCTAAGTTGCTGAGGCTGGCTTTGAACTTGGGATCCTCCTATCTCAGCCTCACGAGCCACTGGGATTACAGGCGTGCACCACCACTTCTGGCTTCATATGGTTTCATTAGTAGATATGATTTGGTGTAGATTCTTTATTTGCGTGAGCTTCAGTGATTTGTGCCTTAAGATATTGTTCATGTCATCCACAGTTTCCAGTGTAGTGGTATGAGGGTGTTAATTCTTCTTATCCTTTGAAGTTCGGTAGTCTGCACTAATATCCTTTAATTCCTGGTATTAGAATTTGTGTCATTTTTTTTCTTGATCAGATTAGTGAAAGAATGATCCATTTTGTTGATCTCTTAAAAAAACAGCTTTTGATTTCATATATTTTCCTGTATTAATCTGTTTTCAGCTCATATCATTGTTATTTCCTTTATTCTTCATGTTTTTAGTTTAATTTTTCTCTTTTTCTAATTCCTTTTTTGGACGGGGATGTACCAGGGATTGAACTCAGGGACACTCAACCACTGAGCCACATCCTCAGCCTGTTTTGTATTTTATTTAGAGACAGGGTCTCACTGAGTTGCTTAGTGCCTCACTGTTGCTGAGGCTGGCTTTGAATGTGCAGTCCTCCTGCCTCAGCCTCCTAAGCCATTGGGGTTGCAGGCATGTCCCACCACACCCAGCATCTTTTTCTAATTCTTAAGGCATAAGTTAGTGCTACAGTTCCTTTCCCAGGCCCAACCTTTTTTTATACCTAGCATGTGTTGTCTTTGCTTAAGCAGCCTATTTTCTTTACATTCGCACAGAATTTTGTATACATGTTTCTACAGATGTATGTTATACATACATTCTTCAGCGCTTAGACCCTCATTCCTTTTTATAGGTCTGGGTTTTCATCGGTTGTTTTCCTTAAGCCTGAAGAGCATCCTTGAGGGTTCTTGTAATGCAGGCGTATTAATTGTGTTCGGCAGCTTTCCAGTCACTGTAAACAAATATCTGAAGTAAATCAACTTATAAAGAGAAATTTTATTTGGGCTCACAGTTTTAGAGGTTTTAGTGCACGAGGGGTTAGTCCCATTGCTTTTGGCCTGTGGCAAAGTGGCATATCATAGCAGGAGCATGTGGCAAGGCAGAACTGCTCACCTCATGCCAGAAAGCAAAGAGGTTGGGAGCAGAGACTAGGGTCCCACTGTCCCCTCCAGGGCACCTTTCCAAAGACCTCTCTGTAGGCCCATGTCGTAAGGTTTCCACCACCTCCCAGTAGCGTCAAGCAGAGGACCAAGCCCGGCACGTGCATCTTTCTTGGTTGTTCCTGATCCAGACACCATCCCTCATGGTGAGTCCTGACTGTGGTGTGGACTGCTGAGCCTCCCACTGTCAGTTTTAGCATTTGAAGAGTTGTTTTTCTGCCTTCTGGATTTTTTTTTTTTAATGATAAGTCAATAGTAATTCTTTGTTCTAGTTTATCCTGTGAGTGTTTTATTCTCTGGCTGATTTTAAGATTTTTCTCCTAATCACTTGTTTTCAGCAATTTGATTATACTGTGATTTTTTTTAACATATATAATGTTTCACAAATTTGCATGTTGTCCTTGTGCAGGGCCGTGCTCCTCCTCTCTGTGTTGGTCTAACTTTAGTTATGTGTGCTCCCAAAGCTAGCACTTTGAAGTGATTTTCTTTTCATCCCACTTTGAGTTTATTGTGCTTTTTATATCTGAGCTTTAATGTTCACAAAATTTCAGATAATCTGGTCAACATGTCTATATATTCTGTCTCTTCCATATTTATTACCTCCAAGTGTAAGTGAGACCTCCCTCAAGTTGTCGCTTCCACAATTTTGTCTCTGGGCTTGGTTTGGGGTGGCCTCTGTTCCTGCAGTGTCTGCTCGCTGTGAAGCTCGTCCAGTGAATTTTAAATCTCAGATTATGATATTTCCAGCTACTGATGTTCCATTTGTCTTGTTTTTTTCCAATTGTCCATTTCTTTCCTCATTATGTTCACGTATTCCTCTAAATCCTCGTACCTCTTCATAATAGATAGCTGACTGTGTCTTTGGCCCAGTGTCAACTTTCCTGTTCCTGCTTGCCTCCCAGCCCTGGCTCAGGGTTTCTTGTTGCCCCGACCACTCCTCATGCCCCCAGTATTGCATAAGATAGAATTTCTAGTGTGCAGAAATTTTGCCATTTAAAAATCAAAGTATGGCATCACTCTTGGAAGTGTTTCCAGAGTCAGATCCAGCACCATGCATGCACCTACCCCAGGTGTGCAGAGTGAGTGGCCGCACTTACAGGTGGAATCCGGAAAATCCACTTTTCCTCCTGACACCCTTACATTCGTTTCATTTGTTATACAGAATTTCAGTCTAAGGTGAAAATGTTTGTGCTTACAAGTATTTGTCATTCTAGAATAGATAGATTGAGCTGTTTCTAGAATGACAAATACTTGTAAGCACAAACATTTTCACCTTGGAGCACATGGGCTTCTGGCTCTCCTCCTGTTGTTGGCTGCCCCTCCTCCGTCTGGTCTCCCAAGCTCATCTTCCTTTCCTACCTCATTTTTTGAAGTTAAGTGCTCTTACACTGAAAGGCTCTCAAACTCCTCTCTGCGGCCCAACCACGCCACCGCCCCCCACCCCCTGCACACAGGACCCATCAGCTGCCCACTCCATTGGGATGTCACTTAATATCCATTGTTTAACTTAGGGTCAGAGACCTTAGCATCTTTGACTACTTTTTCTCTCCTGCCCGACTCCTGATCTATCCGCAGATCCTGGTGCTGCTCCCATCTCAGTGTCCCTTCACTGCCCGCTCTGGGCTAACCCTCTAATTGCTCACCTGGATGACTGCAACCAACCCTGCCCTGCTGGGCTCAGATCCCTTTCATGGTTCCTGTCTCCCCCTGAATCAGCCAGCCTCCTGGCAGGTAGTCTGCTTGTCACCATGGACTGCTGACCTCTTTGCCTCTGCTGCCGCCTCCCTCTCTGGCCCGCTGGCCTCTGTGCTGTTCTGAGAATGCCAGGCCTCTTGCTGCTTCATCTGCCACCCCTGCCCAGAGTGCTGTTGGCCCTACCCCTGCCAGTGTCCCATGTGGGATGCAGCCTCTCCAGCCTCCTCCTCCCTTGCCTTTTCTCCTTCTGTTGGCTGTACTTGTTGACTTTCTCTTCTGCCACTAGAATGTAAGTTTCCCATGGGCAGGCATTGTCCCCTGTTGACGTGTCCCCAGTGCTTAGAACAATGTCTGTCACATAGTTGTCACTCATCAAGGACGCGTGGAATGGAATGATGAATTTAAGCAGTAGGTTGTAAATTTTGAAGTTTTTAAACATGAATTAGCATTTCATGTTCTATGAACGCAGGACATTCCAGGATATGTTCTGTGAACACACAACAGAAATAAGTGTTCAAATACCAATTTCTTCATTTATTTGTCTTTATAGATATAAATACTGAGAATTGCCAGTTCACATAAATAAGGAGACAGTCATGAAGGGGATTTGTTGTAGCTCTAACTTGGCGACTTTGCAGTTAAGTTCAAAGTTAAAACCAATAATCCGAGCAGGTATTTTCAGAATTGTTCAGCTGACTCCTAAACTAGGTGCCCTCTTCAGCGGTGTTGAAAACAGAGAATTAGAAACGCCTAACTTGGAGGAGGCTTTGCCACCCAGGATTCCAGGCCCAGCAGCTGACCATGAGTCCCACCTGCCACTTTTCTTTCAGTGCATCTCACTTTACCTGAACAACTCAGAGTTGAATAAATTACAATAGTTTTAACTTCAACATATCTTTACCAATAGAATATTGAAAAAAAAATAGTACCACACTCTTTGTATTTTTATCTAAAAGTTGGAGCTGTAGATTTGGCTCAACTTATGAGAAATATCTGCCAAATTCATTGTCAAACTAGTCACTTGCTCTCTAGTCCTGGTTGACTTTCCATCACTAGGCATACCTCGACAGCCATCTGATTCCCTTCAGGGAGGGGAGGCATGAGCCGGGTGCTGGTAGCAGAACGCACCGAGGCAGCCTCATTGGCATTTGCTGCTTGCCTCTCGTGGGTGGGGTGCCTTCTTTACAGTGATCTAGATTGGAGTTTTAATGGCCCCTGCCACCAGACTTCCTGTATCTGAACGCAGGGCATTCCAGAGTGAACTGTTTTATTTATGGTGCCGCACTTTACCCTTGTAGAAATGTGAGAAGGGAGAAACAGTTCTCCACAGCTCCTCCACCAGCTGGCCCACCCCATCACTGGTCCTCTGGCCCTGGTGGAGTGTGTTTACGCCTTGAAGCAGAGCTTCTGCTGAGAGGGTGGAGGAGCATAGGTCTTCTTTTAAAGGTGGGAGAAAAACTGAAATAGGTCCCCTTGTCACAGGGTCCATGTTTCTCCAGGTGGAGCCTGAAGATGCTGTGCCCCTTGGGAAGCTTTGTTCTCCAGGGTTATCCCATAATCTCCTTTGAAATGCCCATGTGTGGTCCCTTGAAGGCAGGAGGGAGTAGGCTCCAGAGCCCCGGGAGCGAGAATTTTGTTAGTGGGCAGCCTGGAGCTTTCTCCTGCTGTGTCTCCTTACTGCACTTTAAAGCCCCCTTTGCTGAGAAGCAGAACGTTTTCAGTGTCTGCAGCCATGGGTAGTAACATAGAGTCGGCCTGTCTGTACTTGGAAACAGTGCCCAGGGCCATGTTCACACTGTGGTTTTTCAGGCGCTGATTGAGCCCTCTGATTGCCAGCTTGGGGTGCTGGGTGAGGGGGTGCAGGCTGTAGCGGCTGGTGCAGAGGGAGTGGAGAGCTCTGTGTCTGGGGTCACCACAGAGAACGCCTAGGGCGCAAGCTGCTTCCGGGTCTCCTCACTGCCTGTGAGCTGGGCGTTTGGACTTCTGGGCAGATCTGGTCATTACTAAGCAACCTTGGTTGGGGCCAGCAGCTGTGCAGCTTCGGGGAGAAAGGAAGCACTGATTCAGAAGCAGGTGATTTTCCTCAGATTTGTTTTTTGAAAAAGAAAGAAATTACAACATTCTGTTCTTGGTTTGCAGTGAGTTAAGATACAGTTTGGACAATTATTAACTGAGAAGTGGTTGGGACAGAAGGAACATGATGAAATTGGAACCACATTTCAAATTCCAAACTTTGAAACTGGTGGGCAACAGAGTTGAAATGTTTTGAATCAGTGAAACAGGAAGCCAACCACAGAGAAAATTCAGTGTGGTGGGATGGCGTGGCTGGGCAGTCTCATGGATAGGCCATGGTGTGTGACGTGGGCCACAGTTGGTTCTGCAGGGTCAGCACAGAGTGGGCTGTGCACCTGCAGAGTTGATGAGCCTAGTGGTAGGCTTCCCTGCCTTGGTGGTCAAGGTCAGCGGGGAGACCCACATCCACAGAGTCCTTGGTGAAGGAGAGTGCACTCCACCTGTTTTACACATAAGGTGCTACTTTTAAAAATTCTCATATCTGGAGTTTAACATTTATCCAAACAAATATCTTTTCCAAAGAGTTTGTACTATCAGTCACAAATCCAGACATATTTATAAGAAACAGAAATATATAAAATAAAGTGCTGGAAGAATGGAATAGTAAATGCTGTAGGGATGGTGTGGTTAGGCAACCAATTAGAAGATAATAACACCTTATTCTGTGTAATGAGTGAGTGGCCTCATTAAATATAACATGTGAAATCACCAAATTACCAGAATAAAATGTAGGAGAGCGTTTGTATAATCTTGGTTGGAAAAGATGATTTTCAAGCATGATATTAAAGACATAAAACATGAACAAAGACTGATTTCTTAAAGATGGAATACTAGTGTTGAGAAATAACAAGATCAAAAGGCAAACAGCAGACTAACAAAAATTGCTAACAAAAATTAGACAAAGGCTAATTCTCTTAAGAATCTTTTTATATTGATAATCAAAAGATGAAAACCTTAGTAACATGTTAATGAATATTGATCATTCAGTTCTTAGAAAAAGTACAAATGACCAGCAATCTAAAATAAATTGCAGCCTCACTGGTGTTCAGCAGATGAATTTAAAATAAAAGAGAAATAGCATTTCTCTTTTTCATCTTGTATCCAATTGCTTCCTATCAAAACCTTAGGGCTCAATGTAGCTCTGTGGTAACACAGTTGTTTCCTATGCAGGAAGCCCTGGGTTCCACCTCCCATGTGTGTGCAATCACACACACCCATATTGCAGATTTTTTCATTGTGGTAGATGTTTGGGGGAAAGTTGAGCCTTGGTTTTATAATGTTGCTAATTGTGGCACATTTCAAGGTTTGAAAACAATCTGAGGTTTAGGAGTCTTTTTCCTGGTCATTCATGCTGGAGCGCCCTCTACAGGCAACAGCACCTGTAGCCATTTCCTGACACCCAGACAGTGCAGTTGGGAGAGAAGGGACTGCCTACGGTGTCTGTGAACCCGGGGCCCAGACATTATCCTGCAGCCCACCAGCCCCCATTTTCTGAGGGCCTGCTCTGAAGCTGCACCAAGCACTCATTGAAGCAGCAGTTTAGTTCCCAGCTGTGTCCCCCAAGCCTGGCAGAGAGAGGGTACTCAGCAAATATGAGCCCAGTGGCTAGAAGTCATGCAAGTGCTGGAGAGGCCAGGAAGAAGCAGAGGAGCTCACCCAAGCAGGAGGCAAGGTTAGGAGGGTACACACCTATAACAGCGTGGAGCAGAAAGGATGTGGGGTGGCGAGCAGCCAAGCCCCGAGAGAATGCTGCTCTTCACTGTGCGATCCAGGTGGATCCCCTGTTGCCCAGGTCAGGGGAAGGCCCTGCCCATGTGCCTGCCTTTGGCTAAGGAACACTGCAGCCCTCATTGTAACCTCTTATTCTGTGTTTGCCGTATCCTAATGTAGTATTTGCTTTTTGTTTCCTCTTTTTTTTTTAATTTAAAGGATTTTTTTGTTTTGTTTTGTGTTTTTTGATAGATGAGGGTTACTACCAGGGTGGAAAATTTCAGTTTGAAACTGAAGTTCCTGACGCATACAACATGGTGGTGAGTAGCCTGTACCTACACTTTGTCTTCCTGTACCCAGGGGGTGTCTGCCAGGGGGCCTGTGGCCACGCAAGGCCTTTGCCCCTCCTCACGCCCTGGGACCCAGCACAAGATTGCTAGTGTTTCTGTGGTGAATTCACTCATCAGCCGTACTTAATTCAGTAGAGAAGTACATTTGTTCAACAAGTGGTTGTGAATGTTATGTGCCAGGCAGTTGGCCTGTGTATTTCACGTAAAGTCTTACTTATTAAGTAAGGGGAAAAAAAGTATATTTTTAATTTAAAACTAGTTTTGTTTATGGTATAACACCAAAGTTCCAGAAGTCCATAACTAGGTACTTCAGACTTTGAGAGAATAATAGCTTGTTGTAAGCTATGAGTAGTTTTTACCCATAGGTACTTGTTAATCTCTCAAAGACCCTCCTAGGTAATAACGATACCAAATACTATCACATCTCTCTTGGCTTTTGAGGAACTAACAGAACCATTAGGGAGGTGAAATAAAGGGTAAAAAGCCAATGAAGCACTGAAAGTGGTAAGTAGCAGACAGGCTGATGGTGACAGGAGCCAATGTGTGGCGTTCAGAGAAGGGAAGGAGGTCACTTTTGGAAGTGGTGAAGACCAGTGTGACTTCTAAAGAACCAGATTTGGGTTGTCCTGATTTGGCCCATAGCAGGGGGAGGGTGCTCCAAGTGAGCTGGGAATGTGTGGATCTGTGGTCACAGGTGTGGAAGAGCTTCCCCCGTGGAAGGCAGAAGGCCACTTGGCAGAGAAAAAATTGGAGTCAAGAAATAATGGAGAAAACAACAAGAAGTCTCTGGTTTGTTGGCCTTTTCAATTTGGCACCGAGAAGCTGTGGAGGATTCTGAGCCCGGGGCACAGGGGAAGAGGCTGCACCTGGTGACACACCTCAGGCTGTGCCCACGGCAGTGCCTGTGGTATCAAGGTGTATGCTTAATACAGGATCAGAGTGCAGGGGTGTAAGAGAAATCTGTGGGGGAACACGGACAAGATGAAGTCTCTGTTGGCTTAAGGATGTGGGCCTGGGGACACCATGTGCCCCATTATTCTGCCTGTGGCTGCTGGTTTCCTTCTATCTCCCACCCCAAGCCAGGTTACAGCTCAGAGTTGCAACTCTTGTTTAAAGCCAAACTTTAATCTCTAGAAATTGATTTTTGCTGCACTACTATGTTAAGAGTTCTTTATAAAGATGAGGGATAGTTGGCAATTTAAGGGGAAAAAAGAAATTTAATTTTTAAACAAAGCATGTGTATTTCAGGTGTTTGTCTAGCCCATCAGATACCCACTGAGACTGTCCACCTTTTCCAGATTACACACCAAAAACCTTATTGAGGCAGCTTGGGAGGTTGTTTGGCTTAAGTACAGGTATTTAGAATTGGAGACAGTTTGACTTCTGGAAACCTAGGAGTATAGAATGTAAAATTCTAGGCTGGACATAGACCATCTCTGTAGACTGTACCTCAGAAGAATTAGGACTGTGAATTAAAGTGGGTGAGTTCACATCACTGTCCTTTGGCTAGCTGAGGGAGAAGTTTAGCACGAGCCCCTGTGCTTCTCCAGCAGGCCTTGAGGAGCCATTTAGTTGTGAAGTTGTTGTTCTTGTTAGAGAAAGAAAGCAAAGTGTGAGAAACATGAAGGTGGGAGCAGTCGTGACAGAACATCTATGTCCAGGTGTTTCTGTTCAGGTTACCTCTGTCCATCCTCCACCATTGTTCAGGGGCTGGTCGTAATATTCTAGTCTCTTTATATGGTAGTGAGTTAGAGCCCAGCAGGTTAACTTTTAAAACTTAATTAAAGCTGGGCAAGGAGTTATGCGCCTGTTGTCCCAGCTCCTCAGGATGATGAGGTGGGAGGGCACTTGAGTCCAGGAGTTTGAGGTCAGTCTGGGGCAGCATAGTAATACCCTGTCTCAAAGAACCCCAAACAAAACAAAACAAAACTTGCTAAGTAGTTTTGCCAGTGCAGACAGCTGAATTGATGAGGCCAGTGCATGTGCAGGGCTGCCCAGCTTGTAAATGTGCGCCCTTCCCTTTGTCTACACCTGGTAATGTCGGTCATTCTGTTCCACCCACATGTGACTTTAAGAAGCGGAAAGAATTGCAGGAAAATTGAGTAGACTGTGGCTAAAACCCCTGAACCTTTGCGTCTTGTGTCCCTCAAGAATTGAAGGCTGTCCCAGAGGTTAGCTCTGCTGTCCTGCCCACTACAGTCCCCGAACAGAGCAGAGGTGCATTGTCCTGCAGCCGTGCTACAGATCCCATGCAGTGTCTGGCCATTGGCTTGTCACCATGATTCTGTGTTTCCTTTGTCTCACTGCTGCTGCTCTGCCAGCAGTGAGATGGGCTGGCCAGGTGTAATGCTCTCTACCCAAAGTCACTGAGAAGAGCTGGGGTGGGCTTTGTTCTTGCCTGTTTCTGCTCTCTTTAGGCAAATGTGGGGTCCACAGTAAGGGGTCTCCAGGAGACCAGGAGGTGCAGTGCTGAGTTGAATACAAAAATGTTTGTAATTAATCTTTCCTTACAGAGTTCTGTAGCCTCTTCCCTCTAGCCTGTGAGCTCCTGGCAGTAGCCTGCAGTTATCTTTCAGACGCGTGTCCAGTGTGTAGCCTGTGCCTGTCTTCTTAGGCACCTGTTGCTCATATTTCTGGAGGTCAACTCTGCTTAATAGTGTAGAAAACAAGATTAAGCCAATACATGCAAGGGCCAGGCTGCAGGCCCTTGAATAGAGGTCATGAGTGTGAGCCTGGACAGACGGCTCCACTGTCAGCAATGTCAGCCGAGACTAGGGACTTATTCGTTTCTCCACTCCTGTGCCACAGCTTTGCTCACGTGACTTATGTACTTCATGAAAATTTAAAACACCCAAGAATTATGGTTTTTGCAGTGAAGGTTGGTTTATAAGGATTATAAATTGAAAAAAAACTTTTAATTAATAAAGTAAGTCATAATTTTAGAAAAACTTGCAAAGAAAAGTGTCCATTCAGTATCCATCCACACACATGCTCCCACATCCCAGCAACTAGAATTCAGATTTCCTGGTGAGTTGTTTTCTTCCTGTCCCTTTGTCTCTGAACTTTTCCTCACAGCCTGAAGCCTGCCTTGTCATCTCTCAATCTTAGAAACTGGCTGATTTGGTTTAGTGACACTTATTGAGCTCCTGCAGTATCAGGCACTGTAGGCCCTTAGGAATTCCAGTCACCATGGACACAAAAGCAGGACTCCTGGAAGCTGATTCCTTGGGTAGAGTGGACCCCAGAAGAGTACTGACAGCCTGGGTGTTGGTCACCAGGCAGATTTGAGAAGCAGGAGAAAAAGAACGGCTCTGTACTCGTTTCTCTGGTTTCCTCCTGGAAGTGACTTGTGTCATGCCGCTTTGTTTGTTGTTGGCCATTTCCGCCCTGTGCACCGAGGGAGGGAACCCAGAGACACTCAGATGACCACGATGACTGCAGGTACCTCCTGGAATCCCACTTGCCTCTCCATTTCATTCATTGTATTTGTACTTTGAAATGAGATGGCATGGCTGTGTAGAACAGAATGTTAACCACCAGTGACCCCCTTTGGAAACAGAGTCGCAGGAAAGCTCAGGGTCTCTGCATGGAGCTGTCCACACAGAGCCTGGCAGCTTGGGTTCCTCAACTCACAATGTGACAGACACTTACTGTATGGTCACAGCCTCATTAGCAAGGGTGCCTCAAATGCACCTCCTTGGAAAAAATGGCATAGGACTCCTTGGTAAGCATTATCTTATTCCTGCTCAAAGTATCTAGTTAACCATTGTTAATTTAAGGCTTTCTTTTGTGAGGACACTATAAAATGAGCTCTGAACCATGTGCTTGGAATATATAGTGACTTCAATAAACATTCATTGTACAGTGTGTACTGGGTTAAGCCAGCTCTGTATTGTTGGCCACTGGATGGCTGGGTTTTGGATAGCTTATAAAGCAGACCTTCTGTAAAGGGCAAAGTGGCAAACATTTTAGATATTCTAGGCTATGAATGGTCTTTGGCATTTTTTCCCCCTGGCATGGTACTAGGGATTGAACCTAGGAATACTCTACCACTGAGCCACATCCCTACCCTTTATTTATTTATTTAATTATTTATTTAAATTTTGAGACAAGAATTAAACTGATGAGACTGGCCTCAAACTTACGATCTTCCTACCTTGCTCCCAAGTTGCTGGGACTTTAGATGTGTGCCACTGTGCCCATCTTACATTTAGTTTTATTGTGTCTGGAATAAAGCTGTAAGGGGGATCTGTATTTCCAAATCGTTAGCCAGGGGTCCATTGAATAATCCCATTTTCCTTGTTGATGTGTAATGCAGAGTTAAGCTCTTAGCTATATGAATGGGTGCAAGCACCGAAGGGGGATCCAAGAGTGAGGGAGGGAAGGACTCGTGAGACAAGGTGCTGTTGGGCACTTTGGGTCTCAGAGTCCAGGTCCACATTTCTAACGCAGAGCTCTGCCCTGTCACAGCCTCACAGTTAAAGGGCGCCAGGGATAGAGGAGGCGTCTGTGTCAGCTTCTGCCTGGGGGAGCTGTGGGGCGAGGAGAAGGAAGGACAAACAAGTCACTTTGGGAGCACTAGTAGCCTCAGCTCCAGGAATGCTCCAGAAAAGGCGCTTGGTCTGGGAGAGCGTCAAGCTGGCCACTCCTTTCTGTTCTTCAGATGCTGAGCATGGGTGACTCAGTCCCCCCGGACTTGGCTCTCTTCAGCTGTGTGGAGGGGTGCAGCTCTGACCCTCCTCAGCCTAAACACCTTATTGGAAATAAACATCAAGTCAGTTTTATTCCAGACATGTTTCAAATGCATTCCCACTTATTTGCAGAAAACAAAGGAGAGCATGTGAACTGTATTTAAACTCAACCTAAATTCTTTCACCCTCAGACATATAAGTTTGCACAGTGGATTTAATCACATGATTTTGTGGTTTTGATATCAGGTAGAAAACAGTGTTTGTTATACAAATAAAAATGAAACTGTGAATATTAGAAAAAGTAAAAGGAGAGTATTTGGATGGTGAAAGGCATTTTAAGTATGATATCAGAAGAGAAATTTTGACCCCAAAGATTAAAAGAAAAACCTTCCACACCTCAGAAAGTAGCATAAATAAAATTGAATACTAAATGACGAGCAGGGAGCATGCCACCCTATTTGACAAATGGTTGATCCTTTATGAGATGAGATTCTGATGAGACTGTGCCCGGATGCTTACTACATACCAGCCACAGGGGACTGCAGGAGGGCCCCTCTGCCTCCCTGCATGGGAGGCGACTTGGCCTCCTGAAGGACACAAAGCACTGCATGAGAGCCAGGATTCCCGAGCAGTGTCACTCTCGGGGTTTCATCCTGAGGAGTTATTTCCTATAAAGATGTGAGCAAAGATATAAGCACTGGTGTGGAATGGCTTGGAGTGTGGGTGGGAAGCAGCCTACCACCCAGCAGTGTTGTTAGATGTCAAGAATGCAGGAAGGTTGCCTGAGGTGGTCGCTGAGATGGGAAGAGATGCAGCACGTGTTCCCACTCCTGTGAAGAAAAATGCTGTTTTTGCACACACACCTATGTGTGTCTGAGGCCTAGAAGAGTGCATCAGCTGTGAGTGGAGATTATTTCTGGGTGGAATTATTTTGTGAGTGTGTACAATTACAAAAACAAGTGAAAGGAAACATAACTATTCATTTATGTAATTATGCCTATAGTATTATATAAATAAATGTTTTTCCTTTCATTTTTGTTCTCCCTTTAATTTCTAGTGTGATTTACTTTTAAAATAGAGAGAAGAACTTTATTCAAACATGCCAAGTTGTGAATGATGTTGGTACCTTTCATGCCCATGGGCCACTTCGTTCTTCCCCCTCTTTAAGTGGACTGGAACTATTCTGTAGGAAAATGTACGTAGCGTTAGCACCTTTAGAAGCACACAGCCAGGGTAACCGGCTGGTCTTGTGAGGAGCAGTGACGTTCAGCTGTGACTCAGTAGCTTGGTACTCAAGAGTCTGTTGAGCTACGGCCAGGAGGGCATGGGAGCTTTCCCCGGAATGAACTACAGACTCTGGCTCCACAGCCCTGTGTCCAGGGCCCTCAGGACATGGCCCTTGTAGAGAGGTGTGGTTAGACTCACGAGAGGAGCACTTGTCCTGCCTAGGCAACTGGGACAGCATTCAGGGTTGAGTTAAGCCTGGAAAGTTAGCCTACATGTTGGGCAAGCCTCGAAATTATGACCAGATGGGGACGTGGAAAGGCTTGGGCCACAGGTGTGACCTAGAGAGGTTGTTGTGGTGACATCTCTCTCTCTCTTTATGTTGCAGCCTCCCAAAGTGAAATGCTTGACCAGGATCTGGCACCCCAACATCACGGAGACAGGGGAAATATGTCTAAGGTGAGCCTTCTCCCTCTCATGCTCTCCTGGACACTGGGTGAGTGCTGGTCTCTTTGCATCCCATCTCCTCTCAGAGGAGACCTTGAAGCTTGGCCAAGAGTAGGAAAGGTCTGGGGTTCACTGAAACAGCTGCTTCCAAGCCTTGTCTTCCAGCTGTGCCTGCAGATGGCATCCTTCCACTGCATTTTGTGGCCAAAGCCCTGCTGGCCTTCAGTACAGGATGTACCTGTTGGAGGCCATTGTCCTTCTGCCACCTCCCTTAGTGAGAGGTCACATTCCCTGGATGTTGCTGATTTTAGCTAAGAAGGGAAGATATGATTAATGAAGCCCAGGAGAAAAAGTGTAGATGACAGGCTAAGCTGTCCTCAGTGCTTGCCTTGGATGTACTTTGTACCAGAATGGGCTTGATAAGTGGGGTGCAGTGGTGATTGCCTGTATTCCTACACTCCAGAGACTGAGGCAGGAGGACCACTAGTTAGCAAGACCCTGACTCAGAAGAAGAAAAAGACTTGGGGTACAACTCAGTGGTAGAGCACTCTTGGGTTCAATCCCCAGAATGGATGTGATCATGTAGGAGCCCTTCTGAAGTGACAGCTTCCCTATATAAGCATGTGGCCCTGTGTGTCTCATTCTTCCAGTGGCACAAAGTGAGGGCTTGTGCCCCTTCAAAGGGTGCTGGTCTCTAAGGGAGAGAACTGGAGGAGATCAGTGGATTAGGTTTTTTTACTTTTTGTTTTAGAAGTAAATTTATCATTTGGACTTTCTTTTTCTGCATATCATCTCCTTTTCTTAGTAAGGCAGTGATGTTAATTGTTCAGACCAAGTGGATTTAACTGGAGACCCATCTCTGGCAACTGTGGGACTTGGGCAGGCTAAGTATTCTGTGCTCATATTCTACTGTGCTAGGAAAGGAGGCAGTGTGCGTTTTCCAAGCACATATCTTGGGTAGTATGAAATGCTCTGGTTGGAGGCTGTTCTCGGTCATGGCCTCCCTGTCCTTTTCTCCCACTCCTCTTTCCTCTCAGTAAACACTTACCACTTTGGAAGGAAACAGAAGGTATGTGGCTCTGAGCTACTGGGAAACCTTTTAGACCTTTTCTGGCTCAAAAGTGCAGTCCGTGCCCACTGGCCCAATCCATTTTTATGTGTGCTGTTTCCTTTCTTGCCAGTCTTATTTTGATAGATAGTTAAACTTACATTTTATGTCCAGGCATGACTTTTAAAGTATGTTTCCTTTAAGCATCGAAACCTTAGAATCTGAAGACCCTAGTTGCAGGTGTGAGCCCCTCTCAGCTTCCCCTGCTCACAGCCCTCTGACTCCAGGGGACTCGCTTCACTCTGCTTCCATGAGTGTCTCCTGCTTCTGTTAGTATTGGGTCCAGGATAGGAAATCCTACCCTTGTAGTGTCTTTTGGGAAACCAGATTATTAGTAAAGTATGGCAGCAGCTAGCAGGTGGCAGCCTGAGACAAAAGCCAGGAACCTTAACAGAACATTGCCAAGTTGAACCATGTTAAAACTAAAAATACATAAGCACAGTATTGAAAGATGAAAGATTTCTGTGTGTAAATCATACTTACCACTCATGCAAAAGATGGGCACTGCCCCTGGAAAAATGAGCAGCATCACACATGGTGATTCACAGGAGAAGCAGATGCTCAGCCTTACTGGTGACCAGGAAAAGGCACAGAAACACCACAAGGTGCAGCGGGTTGCTGTCATATGGCCAACACTGAAGCAGTGCTGGGGGCAGGTGGGCCGGAGCGGGCTCTTAGCTGGAGGGTGCGTGTACAGCTCTTCCAGGTCCTGCAACAATGTGGTCTTCTTGTAACTTGTTTTTACCCTTGGACTTGTCTGCTGCTCTTCTAGGGAGTTAACCTAAGAAAACAATGTCATCGTGTGTACAAGGGCCAATTCATTGTTAGTAAAAAGTAGACAGTATCTTTGCAGTAGTAGGGCCTGACCGTGCATCTCCTGGATAAAGGAGAGAGCCAGGCATGCTTCTAGTGTGCAGAGTTCACTGGCAGCCTCCACCTTTGTTCTTCTCAGTAGGCTCGAGTAGCACCTGGATCTAGAGGGACACGTGCCAATTAGTGTGCAGGACCACTTCCCTCTTTAAAGGGTTGCTCTGACTGGCCCTGTCATACTTATGTGCCCTACTCAAGGGGCTGCCTGGTCCTGCAGGGACCTCACTGTGCTCCTGGCAAAGGGTCAGAAGCCCCTTGTTGGGGATTGGAAGGCCCAAGGTCAGGAGCTAAGTGATTGTGCTTCAGCCTTTTTCTTCCAGAGTCCAGGCTTTCAGTGTAGTCCCTAGGTGTTCTCTGATTCTTTTCTTAGTAACCTGATGACCGTAAGTCTTGTATCTGAGCTCCTGTTGGACCATCCTCTGTTGAGGCCAGGCTAGAACTTCCTCAATGACTAGAGCACCACACCCTGAGAGCCTCACTGCTGCCCACAGGCTGATAAGACCCATGGCCATTAGACCCTGGGCCTAGCTTCCCCAGTGGCACTTGCTTCCTAGGTACCTGCTTCCATGTGTGAAGTTTTCCTGCTCTGGCAAAACCACAAGGACACTGACAGGCGTCTCATTAACCTGAGCTCCCTCTGTTTCGCTTGCCTCCCCTCCCTGCTTCTGATCATGCCTAAGCAGGTGGAGAGCAATTTGCATTCCCTGCTCTTATGAGGCTTGCTGTTTGGTAGGTAAGTCCAGGAAACCAACAAGCACCTAACCAAAGGTGACATTAAAAGAGGATGAGCTAGATCAGAACCGTGCCCCCAACTCAGTATAGTCTTGTACTGGACCGTAAAAGCCACTAGGATTTGACAGATGGTTCCCAAAAAGGTATTCAAAAGTTATAGAAGTTTCTAATTCATCTAACATCAAATTCACTGAAATCTCTGTGAAGCAGAAAGATGCCCATCCAGTTATTAGGTTTAATGATTTGAGTTTTCTTTTTAAAGTTCAAAGTAAATTTTAATGTCTTATATAAGTTTGGTTATATTTTTTCTCACCGATACTCATAGATAATTAAGATTTTAGCTTTAATTCAAATTCTAAGTATATATTTTCTCCTGATTTGAATTGACTTATGTGGATTTCAACATATTTTAATAAAAAATAGTTGCCTTGCTGGACATGGTGGCACACATCTGTAATTCTGCTAAGTCAGGAGGACTGTAAGTTGGAGCCAACCTCAGCAAGTTAGTGAGGTCCTCAGCAACTTAATGAGACCCTGTCTTAAGATGAAAAATAAAAAGGGCTGGGATGTTGCTCAGTGGTAAAGTGCCTCTGGGTTTAATCCCCAATACTGCCCCCCCACAGATTGTCTCAGCTTATAATTATGGCCTTTTTATAAGCCTGATATCAACAGCTAGCCTGGAGACTTCTATGTACAGATCAAAGTAATAGCATAATATAATAATTTAACAAATGCAAAAATAACTTTATCTCCAACAGAAGCTTGACAGTAACTCAGTTTTATCAAAGTATGGAATAACATATGTGAGAGAACACAGTGTGCATTTGTAGCTGATATAAAATGATCCTCAGGCATCAGTTTAAGAAACAGGACCCCACCACACCTCTGAAACCTGGTGTGCCACCTTGCGGCTCAGTCCTTCCAACCAAGGAGTGAATCCTCTCCCGAATTTTGCATTAATCTGCTGAAGTTTTCCCTTCTTAGTTTTAAAAAAATATCTACTAACTTGTCTTGTGAGAGGTGGTACTGCAGTGCACACCTATAATTCCAGGGACGCAGGAGGCTGAGGCAGGAGGATTGCAAGTTCAAAGCCAGCCTGGGAAACTTAGCAAGACCTTGCTTCAAAATAAAAAAAATAAAGGGCTAGGAGTGTAGTTCAATGGTAGAGTATTCCTGGGTACAATCCCTAATACTACAAAACTAAAAAATAAATAAAATGTTTTAAAAATGTCATGTGTGATTTGAGTGTGATGGTGCACACCTATAATTTTATCAGCTTGGGAGGCTGAGGCAGGAAGATCCCAATTGTGAGGCCAGCCTGGTCAACTTAGCAAGATGTAGCTCAGTAGTGTTGTATCTGAGTTCCATTCGCATTACCCCCTGCCACACCCACATAAATAATTACAAAATGTCTGTGTGATGAACTCAACATCGTATTGAGCCCCATCAGTGGTGGCTCAGAACACAGGTTCTCGGTTTGAACGACACACCACTTGCCAAGCGTGCTCCTTGGGCATGTTTTCTCTGTAAGATAAGGAAATGTTGGCACTTTATTCAGGGGTTGTCAGAGGCATGAAGTAAGTTTAACGACACAACACTTTCCATTATGCTTGATACAAAAATGGTCAGCTTTGGGCTTTAGTTATTGCTGTTTTATTGTTTTGTTTTCTTTTTCTTTTAAATTTTTCTTTTTATCTTTCTTTTTTTTTTTTTTTTTTTGGTACTAGGGATTGATCCCAGGGGCACTCAACCGCTGAGCCACATCCCCAGTCCTTTTTATATTTTATTTAGAGACAGGGTCTCACTGAGTTGCTTGTGGCCTCACTAAGTTGCTGAGGCTAGCTTTGAACTCATGATCCTCCTGCCTCAGCCTTCCAAGCCACATGGGATTACAGACGTGCACCACTGTGCCCAGCTGCTGTTTTCATGTTTGTTGCTATCATTTTTGAATGTTAAGTTGACCAATATTTCTTGTATGTTGTTTTAAGTACGCTTTAAACATCTGTGGCTAGGATTAAAGGTACAGTAAATAAAAATAACACAGGTTATTATAACTGAATATATATTCAATCTTGGAGGTAGAGAAGGCAGCCCTCAGCAGGACAGGAAACAGCAAGCTGCAGAGCAAAGACAGGTTTCCCAAAAAGTAGATCTCCTTTTGTCCTAAGATAAAACAGTGGGCTGAGGACTCTAGTCGCATTCCAGCTGTGCCTTTGGCTCAGGTGACTTAGGTGCTTCCTTTCTAGCTGCTGTGCATTTCTGTGTCTGTTTCAGTTTACTGAGAGAACATTCGATAGATGGCACTGGCTGGGCTCCCACGAGAACCTTAAAGGTAAGAGTCGGCACCTTTGGGGCACAAGTCCTCCTCTATGGTCCTCACCTGGCACCCCACACAGGTGGCCAGGCACACCTGCTTCCTCCTCTCCCCACTGCCCACTGCCTAGGCTGCTTGGTGAAGCATTGGCTCCAGACTGTTCTGGTTGGGTCAGTCTCGTTGGCCAGTGCCAGGTGCCATTCAGGAGCCTGGGACAGGAGCACACAGTGCAATTTCAGAGCCACACCAACAGACAGCATAGGAAGCCATTGCTCATTCAACAGGAGAGTGCCCAGGAGAGAGCTGCAGTCTTTCCTGTGTAGATCACTCCTGGTGGCCAGAAGGTCTGTCAGATGGTGGGTTTCTATCACAAATTGACACTTTGGAAGAACAGTGCAGGGAAGGGGTTTTGACCCCAGTCCAGTGTCAAGGAATATTGCAGACTTCATGCAGTTGTGACCCAGTTCCTCCCAAGCTTTGGCCTTCTCTCCAGCCTTTCTTCATGCCCTTGATGTGTTCTGTCCTCTCGGGACTTAGTGTCTGCCAGATTACCTGGTAGGTACCCCCTCCTCCAGACTTCCACCTGGCAGATTCCTGCTCCTCCCGCAGGCCCCCACTCAAATGACTGCCACTTCCACTGTGGGGCCTGTCCCCCAGGATTAGTGCTCTGGTGTTGACCTGCTGGCCAGCCCTCTGTCTGATACCCCACCAATAGAAGTGGAGCTTATTCCCACACCCAGCTCCAGCCCAAGGCCTAGCTCACACCAGGAGGATGGGGATTGGGCCAGTGGGTGGGTGGATGAAAGAAAGCAGAGAAGACAAATAAAAATTACCAAGTAGCAGAGAATATGGGATGATCATGAGATCCAGCTTAAAAAAGATGAAAGACTCTAGCTGATGAAGAGACAGAGGGAGAAAGACTTTGTAGTTGAGTTGAAGATCTTGAGTCCGTACAGGTGGAACAATGCGGCTTTCAGTTTTATTTTAATAAAAATCTGGAAGTTAAGTAGAGCAAAAGTATTAGAACTCAGTAGGACATAGGTAATTAGCTTATCCATGAGCTCCAAGTGCAATTGATGTTAAAAACAACAGATATTATTTTAAGGTACTTTTCAGAAGTCAGAAGCCTATTTGTCATGGCTGGTGGGAGTGGTTGGTTGGTGGCAGAAGCACGCATGTGGCCTGTGGGCTCCTGCCCTGGGTCTGAGGAAGGGTAGTTGATGTTCCCTTTGACCTTATATCTATTCCTGTGGCTGCTTGGTCTCTAAATTTCCTGGCTTATTATACTTGAAAAAAAGAGATTATTTTCTCTTTGTCTTGAGGGGGAAAAAAAGTTCTTAGGATAGGTTTTGGTATGGCACAAAGCATATTTTTGGTCATGGGTTTAAAGACTTTCATCGAGCAGGAGCCTAAAATTTTGTTTTCTGTTTTCTTTTTTATTTCAGGATGTTGTTTGGGGATTAAATTCTTTATTTACTGTAAGTATATTGATCAAACTCCCAAGTTGTTTTGCTTTCCCTGGTTTGAAACATCACCTTAATGCTAGCCCAGGGGATTAAAAGCAAGCCATGCACGTAGTTACCCATCTTTCCTATCGCTGTTTATGGTCAGAGATAGAACTGTGACATGGGAACCTCAGGGGCTTTGGAGTGACATGGGGAGGCCATCAGGGGAAGCCCTGCTGGGCAAGCTGCCTCCACCTTCTGGGTGACAAGCCTGGTTCCACTTGCTCTTGGCTTCTTCAGCAGGTAGCTATTCCTGTGTGTTTTCTGTGCCCAGTCCCTGCCTGTGCCTGCCATCTCACCAGGCAGCCCATTTGGTGGCCCTCTTCTCTCCTGGGGGTCCTGGTTACGTGGATGAAGTGGTCATCCAGGAACCCAGGACCTTACAGCCTTTTTCTGTTGTCTCTGAGCCTCTGGAGTTTGCTGTTCTTGGATGACAGTGCCTGTAGGCTGACTGGAATCGCAGGCGGCAGGCAGACAGGCAGGCAGCACTGGAAGGACACACCTGAAAGCTCTACCTTGGCTTTTAAATATATTTGTTTCTTGGGCTGGGGTTGTGACTCAGTGGCAGAGCACTTGCCTCGCACATGTGAGGCACTGGGTTCGATCCTCAGCACCACATAAAAATAAATAACCAAAATAAATGTATTGTGACCATGTATAACTAAAAAATTTTTAAAATATACTTGTTTCTTTGAATCTTTACTTTCTGATTCAGAGAAGAGCTTTCAAAGCATCCAGGGATATGTCTCTGAATAAAAAATAATTTCTACTTTTGGAAAAGTCCCAGGACCCTCCATGAACACACACCTGCCCTGGACAGTCTGCCAAGGTATCCTCCTGGCCCTTGTTGTGTGTATGCACTATTCAGACATGCCGCGGCCAGGTCTGCTGCTCTTCTTGACAAGAGCTTCATACTGAGCTGAGCGTCCCTGCCTACCTTTGCCTTTTTGTCTGTGTTCCTGGGGACACCTGCCCCACAAGCAAAGAAACCAGTACTTACAGTGATTTCCGGAGCTCCTTGCTCCCTGGAGAGACAACACCTGTGGCTGTGGCCTTCACTCGGCCCCCAGGACAGTCTGGCTGTGCCCATGGCGTCCTCAGTTTGCCTGAGAGCCACTGAGAGCAGGAGCTAAGGCAGACCTCTTGGGGGCCCTCTCACTGTCATTTGCTCCACCACCAAAAGCATCTCTCTGGAACCATCTGTCTGCCCAGGTTCCTCAACCATAAGCAGGTTTGGGCTGGTGACTTGGTACTGGGGAGTTGGTGGAAGGAAATGCACATTGGTTCCTTAGACTTTTTATTTAGAGAAATCTGGTGGTGGCTCCCCATCTCCAAGTGCCCAAAGCTTCCAGATCCTGAAGAGCCAGTCAGAGTGTGACTTAAGTCTGTATTGGTTATTCCATCTAATATTTTCATTCTAGGTGAGGCCTATGGTAAAGGGAAGTCTTTACATATACTAGGTATTGCATATAGTATGTACTTATATATTTTGCCTATGTCTAGGACTTGGAGTCTAATTTTCCAATTCTTAGTTTTTTTTTTTTGTTTTGTTTTTTTGCTATATTTGTACCGTGTTATCCATCATTCCCATATTTATTTCCAAATCAGGAATGCAATCCCCAAATTTAACATAATTCCTGAAGAGGAATATGGTTGTCTTTACAATGACCCATCATACGGCACACCTTACAAGTCTTGCTGGCCTGAGTTTCAAGGAGAACAGGGAGTTCAGATGTGGCCTCTGCTTCAAAGTCCAGGTGCTTCTGGGAGGAGAGGAGAGTGGGTAGGCCATTGCTTTTTAAGGTATCAAGAATCTGCTCCCACAGGGCACAGTGGCACATGCATGTAATCCCAGTCGCCCAGGAGGCTGAGGCAGGAGGATCACAAGTTCAAAGGCAGCCTCAGCAGCTGCAAGACACTACTAAGCAACAGAGTGAGACCCTGTCTCTAAATAAAATACAAAATAGGACTGGGGGTGCTGAGGTTGTGGCTCAGCGGAAGAGTGCTCGCCTAGCACATGCAAGGCGCTGGGTTCAATCCTCAGCACCACATAAAAATAAAGGTATTGTGTCCAACTACAACTAAAAAAATATTTGAAAAAAAAATAGGGCTGGGGATTTGACTCAGCGGTTGAGTGGCCCTGAGTTCAATCCCCGGTACTGAAAAAAAAAAAAAGAAGAAGAAGAGTCTGCTCCCCTGAGGCGGGGACACCAGCCTGTGAGTGGATGTCCATGAAGGACACAGGGATCTCTGTCTGTCAAAGACAGGGAGATCCAGAAAGTTTGGAAGATAAACAACAGTTGCCTGGAGGCAAAGGTATCATTAAATAAAGGGAAAATTAATGTTTATAAAACAGAATGGGGTTTTTATTTAGAAATGCTCACAGTGGGAGTGGTTATCATTCTCCATTTATCAAAATATCAGAAATTAATGAAGTTAATGTGGTTGCTATTTTCTCCATTCCCACTGACGTTTAGACAGTTGTATATAAACATACCCCTGAGCTCTTGCAGTCAGCTGTCAGCTATCGTTTTGCACAGAGAACCAGCCAGCCCAGGACTCTGACACCACAGGAGCTTGAGGACTCAGAGGTGCTCCCAACTCAGCTGAGCCTGCAGGTGGCTGATTAGGTTTTGTTGCTGCTTTGTAGGGTGAAGACTGACACCAGACAAGCAGATTCTCCAGTGTTCACCTTGAGTTTCTCTCTTTTTAAGGACCTTTTGAATTTTGATGATCCACTGAATATTGAAGCTGCAGAACATCATTTGCGGGACAAGGTGAGCCATGAACAGGTTTTTTTAAGTTGGTGTGATAGTAAAAAGACAGATCTACCTTTTTTTCTTTCTTTTTTTTTTTTTTTGGGGGGTCTTTTCTTTTTTGAAACTAGGGATCAAACCCAGGGCTTCGCAATGCAAGGCAAGTGCTGTACCTGTGAGCTACATCCCAGCCCTAATTACTACCATCTCTTGATTGCACAAATGAGAAATTGAGAGTGATGGAATGCAAGACTGGAAGTTAAATGTGTTACAGAAAACTTGTGTGATCTTGGGAAAGCGTTTGCCTACATAGAGAAATGGTTTTTATTAGATGGGGTTTCCTAGTAAAATTGAGTGTTAGTAACAGGCAGTGACTCCTTGTTTAACAGCACAGGCACATCGGCAACGGGTAGCCTGAAGTTCACCCCACTGCTGGGCTCTTGCAGGCTGTCTCCACCTCACACAGCCTTTGCTGAGCTTTTTCATGCATACACACGGGGCTTGACCTTTTCCCAGAATTGTGGATCTTGTTTCTTACTCTTAATCTTCCATTCCTTTTTGTCCTTAATTAACTTTTTCCCTCCCAATTAATGCATCAACCAGCACTCATTCATTTCAGAAGCTGTCTTATGTTCTATGAAGTGACTCTACCATATTTTTTAAAAACCATTTGCTGGTGTTCCCCATGAAGTTTTTTTTTCCAACTAGGAACAGTAATTCAATAAATATCCTTTGTAAATACAACCTGAAATACAGGTGGTTTTATTTCAACAGAAGGGAGTCCTAGAACTGGGTCACTGGGTCACTGGGTCAAGGATGATATGCATCCTTAATTTGAGTTGCTTTCACCTGGTTGTTTTCTGTGGCTGTGGCTGTGCCTGTGCCTGGCCTGCTGGCAGTGTAAATGGGTGCCTATATCCCTTGAAGAAGACTATTTATTTTGAAACAAAGCATCTACACCCATGGGGAAGGGAAAAGCATAATGGAACCCAGCTGGTAAAGTTGTTATCACTGAATGTGGCCCACACTTGAGCAGCTGGCAGTGGGGCTGGGGTCTGTTCTCACTGTGGATGAGGAAGCATTAAACCCCGGGGTGGGGGGCGGTGTGCCATCTGGCCAGGGTGCTTGAGATGACCAGGCACGTGGGCCTCCTATGGATTGTAAGGGCAGCCATGTGGGTCTAGAGACATCTGAAGCTTTCCTGTCATTCTGGCCATGCAAGTCCCACTTCTATCTCCTGAAATGCCTAGGTATCCAGGTGGACTCTGCTTCTTGTGTGTGAAGTTGGCATTTCATAGCGTACCCACCTTTCCTCTGGGCAGTGCAGTCACCCTGAGGCTGGGGCTAGGCTACTTGTGGGCCATGAAAGATAAGCATATTTTAAGTGGGCAGCAGGTCCAAGAAAGCCACTCTGGAAGGCAGATCTGGTAACAAGGGCCCCATGAGCAGCAGCTGATGCTTGTGTTTGTCGTCAAGGGAGTCTTGGTTTGTGGGCCAGGTGTGATCAGGGTTTGCAGATGTCTCTGCCCACCCCAGCACAGCAGGCAGTGTCGTGAGCCAGGCCTCTCACAGAGGCTTTCCCTCTGGGGCATCTGACTCTGAAGCGTTGCTTCCCTCAGTCATTGTATTCTCTCTCTTCTCCACAGGAGGACTTCCGGAATAAGGTGGACGACTACATCAAGCGTTATGCCAGATGATAAGAGGAGATGATTGCAGGCCCATGGACTGTGTGTCACAGTTTGTCTCTAATGTGAAGCAGCACGAGGTAGCCCTCCTCCCTGTCCTCACGCTCCCTCAATCCCAGTCCTGTGACCTTGTCCTGAAGAAGACCATCCTCCTGACCGCCCACCGTAGGCGGGGAATGCAGCATAAATACAGCAGGAAACGTGTTTGGGCCTCTAAAGAGTTGTCTGCCTCCCTTAACATGTTCACTTTTCTGAAACTGTGCTGTCTAGGCTGTCGGTGAGACTCCTGGGAAGTAGTAATGGGCTCAGCATTGAGGCTAGCACTTGCTTCCCCTTCCCTAGCAGATGGGTATCCAGTGTCACTTGTAGATTGACAATAAGAAACCATGGCACACTGTGGTTGGATGCACATTCTCTTAGCTTCTCCCGCAAATGCTGGCCCTGCCCAGATGTGAGGCTTCCCAGAGCACAGTCATTCACTGTAGATCTTACTGAAATGCGTATTTTATTTAATGTAAGTATATTTTGGAACAGATTTGTAATTTGTACAATTTAATGCTTTAATTATTTTTTCCTATTCTCACTTAGTTTGTATTTTCATTGTATAGAGCAGACAGATGTTGGGTCAAGCAACTATTGAAGAGAGATACAAAGTAATGACGAAAGACATCACTCATTCTGTCCAAATGAGCTGGAACCTGGCTCCTAAATACCAGCTCTTGCTTTCCAATCCAGATGTGGCAAGGACATCTCAGAGCCCTTTGAAGCCACATCTGGATGATAAAAATAAAAATAAAAAGGCAGGGAGCCCTTTCTCACACATTGCCCAGAGGAAGCAGGCTGGGAGGGGCATGGTGGTCCTGAGTGGTCACTTGAGTGTCAGCCAGGCCCTGCTTGTCAGAGCCAGGCTTTTACTGTCCCAAGACAGGACAAATGCTCGGGAGGGAATCAGCCCAGACAGTGTCTGGACTCTTGGGACTGTACTGTGGCCGTCTCTGAATTGCTGTGGTTCTGGGGCCTATCTGGAGTGAGCCTCTGAGGCCTTGGAGGATCATGGATCATCAGCAGCATGTGCCACACGTGGACAGCTTAATGCGCTCCAGAGGAGGAGCCCTGAAGAGAGGCAGGTGGCTTCATTCCAGCGTTCAGACATCTGAACCAGTAGAATCAAATGCAAAATAAATATTTGTCTGGTTTCATTTGCTGTCTAACACTCAGGTTTAACTGCTAGCTTTCTCCTTTGGAGTTGCCCCTGTCTGCCATCTATGGGGTTTACTTGACTTTTCTTAATTACAGAATGTCTGATTGTTTGGTTAACCTCGGGTGGAGATCCAGCAGGTCAGCGTCAGGATTTTACCCTTAGACTTGAGAGTGGACCCTGGCTAACATGCCACACATCTGGGTGCAGAGGAGGAAGGGTAGGCATTGTGGGTAGGGATGCTCTCATGAGAGTGCTTCTGTGGGAGAACTGGTGCCAGTGCTCATTGTTTCTTGGAGACATGCCCAGGGTAGGAAGGGACCACAATGAAAGCCATGTCAGTTGTTAGTTCTGACTTCACAGTATTTGCACAATAGGAAAACACTTTGCTTATTGTCAGACTTTTTCTTTAAACTGACATTTCAGATAGTTGAGTCATTTCATCCTGTCCAGTAGAAATCCTTCAGAGATATTTTGCCCTCCCCCACCTCTAAAGAATATACCCAGTCTCAGCTCATGGCAGTGAGTAGTTCGTGCTGTGCTGGGTGCTTGGCCAATGAGTTCCCTGGAACCTGCTGGTGACTGTGACACTGGCTTTCAGATTTGTTGGCATCTTGAGGTTCCTCCCCACTTTCAGGCCAAAGCCACATTTCTGGCCCTGGTCCACATGCCCCAACCAACTAGTAATAGTGAATTTCTGGTCTCCCATGGATGGGGAATCCTAGAGGCTCACCCTAGACGTGGATTAGAGTAGCCAGGCCCTTGGGGACATGGAGCTTTTGGACATCCAGATCTTTGTTTCCTAACTCCTGTCTGTTCCTGGCTGTGTTCTGCAGGGTCTCTGTAACTCTACTTCTTACAGTTTGATGTGCAAGCTGCATGTTTTTCAAGCACTCTTAGAAGGAATGACTTGTGAGTGGGCCTGTCCTGGGAGGCACATGTCACTCCTTAGGTCTCCCCTACACACTGCACCAGCAGGAGCACTCCTCAGAGCAGAAACTCCCTTCCTTCCCAAGAGGTTTAAAAATAAATCACGAGTTCCTATGCACATGGGACATTTATCAAATAATAAAATCAAGCAATTATTTTTCATGTAAAAATTCCAAGAAGTGTTAGGCCGCCAATTACGGTCTCTAAGCAGAGACTTTCTCAGCTGCGTACCATCTATCCATTCCAAAGGTGTTCTCATCTTTATCCATTTAAAAATGTTCCATCTTGGAAACTTAGGTTTGTTTATAATTTCACTACTCTTCATAAAATGTGCTAAGAAAAATGCTAAAATATAGTCTTAGTAAAATGTTTACCATTCTTTTGTCAAAGAACTTGAAAAATGAGAAAACCTGTGAATCTGCCCTTCCTATTGCCCTGCCCTGAGGAAAAAAAATACCTTGACAGCTTAGGGAGGCCAGCTCGGAGGAGTCATACTGCCCATCGCTGTTGCCTTCTTGTGCTGGGTCATGGGTTACAGAATTGATTTATTGAGTGGGAAAAACATTTATTAAAAAAAAAAAAAAAAAAAAAAGCTCTTCAAAAAGCCTTTGCTGGGAATGTTGGATTTGTTGAGAATGTGCGTTTATTCGCATTGAGTTATAAAAACAACTGAATCCTCTCCTGAGAAAGCTCAGAGGTGGGCTCATTAATTTTCATTGTCAAATTCATAGAGCCAGAGTTCTTCCAGTAAATGCACTGTTTTTTAGCTTTCAATAGGGCTGCTTGGAAATGACAGTGCCTGTTCCAAAACTTCCCTTGCCAGAGGAGAGACCCCCTGGGAACCAGGCCTCAGACACAGGCAGGCACCAGTCTCCAACTGAGGTGGCAGCTGTAGCAGCTAGGTTCTTTCGAGCCTTGGTCCCACAGCTCACATGGGGCGTTTTATTCTCTGCTCTGGTGACAGTGGAGCGCCTGGCAGGCCTCCTGCAACCACCTTGCTCTACTCTGTATTGGGTTTTCACCCTTCAGTGTCCAGCCTCGCTGGAGTTCCCATCCTGACTGCTGTGCTGTGCATGGTGCTGGAAGGCCATCTGGTCTCGTTCCCGTCATGGGTATTCTCATCACTGATGGGTGGGTGGCCCATCAGTGGAAGACTTTTTTATTTATTTTTATTTTTTAAAAATTTTGTTCTGTATGACAACAGAATGCATTATAATTCATATTAGACATACAGAGCACAATTTTTCATATCTGGTTGTACACAAAGTAGAGTCATATTCTTTGTGTCCTCATACATGTACTAGGGTAATGATGAGCATTGCATTCCACTGTATTTCCTATTCCTATGACCCCTCCCTCCCCTTTTCCCCTTAGCCCTATTTAGAGTTCATTTAATCCTCAAACATCTCTCTCTTTAAAAAAAAAAAAGTGTTCCAACTTCAGTGGCCTCACTGTGTTCTTCCTTCCCCTGGCCATGCATAGCTGGGTGCAGCACTGTGGGTAAATAGCCTTATTCCCTGTTTGAAGGGTTTCAGCCACAAGTCGGATTGTGTTCTGTCTCCATGGCCCCATGGCACTTGCTGTGGGCCTTGCCAGAGCAGTAAGAATGTGTGACAGAAAATGCAGTCATTGGAGGAAGCCCTTACCCAACATCTGGGTGAGGCCAAAACATGCTGGGGGTTTGGGGACTCCCCAGACCCTCCCTGCCTTGCCAGAAAGGTTTCTAAAACACCTCTGTCCATCTCCTTCACCTTCTAATCAGACCTCTGTCCACTCTTGCTGGCCTCATTTTCGCCAGCTACTGACCCAAGGTCCCTGGCCTCAAAGTAGTGCTTTCTTGCCCTGGAATGATGACCACTCTGCTGAGACACTTGGCTTCCTTCTTGGGGCTCATCCCAGATTCTGTGGTGCCACTACTGTGATTTCTTTCTGCTCTTACAGCAGGTGGCCACTTCTGAGGAACCTCCTGCCCCCCAGGTTTCCCAAAGCACAGATGCCAGGGACTGCACTTCTTACATGTGTATTCCCACCCTTCCCCAGGTCAGTCCACGCCTGGAATATGGACCTTCTATCTGCATGGCTGGGTAGGCTATTAATGAGTAAATGTAGAAAAGTGTGTCAGAGGCAGGCTGTTCCAAGGGTCATCCAGAGAAGTAGGCACCCTCACCAGCCCAGGCAGTGAGTCGCTCAGAGGGCATTTGCTGCCCCCTAACTGAGCTAGCTACCCTTCCATCAGAAGACAGGTGCCAGGTCTGGGCAGAGCGTGTTGCTTGGATGGGGGCCTATGAAGAAATACTGCAGAAAGAAAGAATCTCCAGGACACTCTTAAGGATAAAGATAACAAATGAAGTATAGGATCAAAAAATAACTTGGGGAAGAAAACCACATTCAGGAAGATAGCAAGCTACATCTTTGACTCAGTTAACTAAGTCACAAGTAGAAAATAGGCTACAAAGGTAAAAATGAAATACAGAAAAGGAGCTGGAAGAGGAAATAACAATGAAGCCCACATCTGAATGGACAGGATTGACACAGAAAATAGATCGGTGATATGGAGAAAAACTAAAGGGTTTTCCCGTGACTGCAGAAGGAATCTGACAAGCCATCAGAAGAAAGATAAAGAACAGGGTACTAGTGCTTGCAGTGTGAGTAACAAGACTGGATTTACTTTCCTGGATCGGCAAAAACCTGGGGGCACATACAGAAGTTTTTAGATTCTGAACAGCAGGCAGTGCAGGACAGTGATTAGTGGGTGAGACTTACAGGTCCTAGCTCTGAAAGGGCACCCAGGTGGAAAGCAGCAGCTCCCTGTTATGATGGCACTGGAGAAGCCAAGAGAGCTGGGGCTCCAGGGGCAGAGAGCCACACCGGACAGGCTGCAGAGGTCCTAGGTATGCCCATGAGAACACTGAGTCTGGAAGAGCACCACCCAAAGGAGCAGAGAACACGACACTTGGAGCTCACAAAGGGCCAGGAGAGTCCACATTCCCATGAGCTAGAGTGGAAAGTCAGTGCTTTGGGTAGAGCACTCAAGGTACTGGCTCAGTAACAGGAAAATTAACCCTACGGGCTATGCTGGTTCCATCCAAAAATCTTACAAGCAAGCTGTCCCAGAATAAAGCCCCCCAAATATTTGTAGACTGCCACAACAAGCAGCCAAGCCTGGGAAGCCCTGATTCCGCAGGCCTGAGACCCCGGTCCCCCATCCAGAGGCTCCAGGGTGGCTAGACAGCACCTGCAAAAGCAATTCTATAACCACAAGCACCAGCCCCCTGAAGCCTCTTTGCCCTTCAGGGGCCTGAGAGGGCCTGGGACTCTGAGCAACCGGAAACACTCGTCTTGCTGAAAGGAGCCCAACACAGTGAGTGCCCAGCCAGGCACAGTTGGGCCTCTGACAGCTCTAGGTTCCCTAGCCTGTGGACACCTTCCATTTTCACAGGCAGACCAAAGAGACACCGTAACCCCTCAGCTGCACCTGTATTGCTAGACCTAAACACAGTGCTGCCTGATTAAAAAGGCATCCACATTCTCCTAACCAGGATGTCCAGGACACTAAGCAAAAGTCACTCATCATGACGAGAACCAGAGACCAACTTAAATGAGAAAAAGCAATCAACTGACCACTAGTGAGATAAACTGAATGCTAGAATTCTCCATCATATGGGGCTGGGGATGTGGCTCAAGCGGTAGCGTGCTCGCCTGGCGTGGGTACGGCCCGGGTTCGATCCTCAGCACCACATACAAAGAAAGATGTAGTGTCCGCCGAGAACTAAAAAAATAAATATTAAAATTCTCTAAAAAAAAAAAAATTAGAATTCTCCATCATAAAACCAGTTATAAATTCTCTTGGAACAATAGAAAATACCTACAAATATACAGAATTTAGAGATAAACAAAAACATTAAATTGTGCAATGACAAGCTCTAAAAACTTCTTGGCCTGAATACTACAGTGGAAATGATAGAAGATAGAATAAGTAAATATGAGGACAGAACAATTGGATTTGCTTAATCTGAGCAGAAAACACGGACACCCCCGCTTCCCTGCAACAAAGAACAAATGTCATGGGGCTTATGAGATAATAGCAAAAGACCTAATATACTAAGTCCCAAAAGACGGCTGGGGACATGGCTCAGTTGGTACAGTGCTTGTCTAGCATACACAAGGCCTTGGGCTCAGTCCCCAGCAACACACACACACACACACACACACACACACACACACACACAAGGATAGGAAAAAGAAGGGAGCTGAAAGAGTAACTGAAGAGAGAAGTTTCCCATATTTGGTACAAAGATGTGGATTCATGAAGCTGAGTGAATCCTGAACAGGATGAAATCAAATCCACACCAAGAAATCAACCTTCTAAGAGCAAAACAAGAAATCTTGAAAGCAGCCGGAGGAAATGGTACATTACCTAATGGGAAACTAGCTTGAATGATGGTGGGTTTCTCCTCAGAAATCATGGGGGCCAGAAAAAGTGACAGATGCTGAGAGTTAGCTAGGCACTGTGGTGACCCTGTAATCCCAGCTGGTGGGGAGACCCCATCAGAAAAACAAGCAAAACAAAGTAAATGTCAATCATGAATTATATATCCAGCCCAACTTTTTTTTTTTTTTTTTTGGTGGTGCATGGGAAGTGAACCCAAGGCCTTGTGCATGCAAAGCAAGCGCTCTACCAACTGAGCTATATCCCCAGCCCAAATTACTTTCAGAAAAGAAAGTGAAATAAAATTCACTCAGATGAAGTAAAATTAAAGAATTTATTGGGCTGGGGTTGTAGCTCAGTTGGTAGAGCCTTTGCCTTGCATATGTGAAGCACTGAGTCCAATCCCCAGCACCACATAAAAACAAATACATAAAATAAATGTATTGTGTCTACAACTAAAAAATTTTTTAAAAAGAATTTATTACTTTTTTTGTCCTGTGGTTGCAAGTTTGTCTACATCTCCTCTCAGATCTATCTGTAAAGATTGAGGGAAATTCTGATAGAAGATGCAGACAAATCTATAATCAAAGGACCCAGTTACTGCATTCCTGGAGAACAAAATTTTGTTTATAAAAAAACACCTTACACCAGTTTTCACAGGAGTCTCATTCATACTATCCATAAACTGGAATCAGCCCAGCTGTCCCTTCAATCTGGGGTGAAACACACACAGCTACCCTGGAACACTATCAGCAGCGAACATGGAAGAGGGGGTGTGTTTATAGAAGCACATACTAGGTAGAGATCCTTGATGGGATGGCATTGTCATGTCTTTTTAATTTTTTTTCAGTTGTTGATGGACCTTTATTTTATTCATTCATTTATATGTGGTGCTAAGAATCAAACCCAGTGTCTCACACACATGAGGCCCATGTTCTACCACTAAGCCACAACCTCAGCCTGTCCATCTTATCTTGATCATGGTCCTGGATACACAAACCTACATGTCTAAATATGACACAGAACTAAAAATCCATACCAGTGAGTATTGCTTGCAAAACTTGAAGGAGACAGATTGATTGCAATCAATGTCTGTATCCTGATTGAAATATTACATACACATAGTTATCAAAGATGTTGCCATTATGGAAAACTGGGTAAAG